CTCACACACTCAGGTATGGCTTGTCTGGTATCCACACCCAATCCCTGGATTATTGATTCTAGAGTCTCCGATCACATGATTGGAACTCCTGGTGTGTTTTCTTCCCTCTCTCATTGCCCCACATCACAATCTGTTACTCTTGCTAATGGTTCCACATCTTCCGTTTGTGGCATTGGTAATGTTAACATGGACTTTGTATCCTTATCCTCAGTTTTGTATGTTCCTAAATTTCCTTTTAATCTTATGTCAGTCAGTAAGTTAACCAAATCTCTTAATTGCTCCATTACCTTTTACCCATCTTCGTGTGTTTTTCAGGATCTCAAGACGGGGATGAAGATTAGTGGAGGGCATGAAGCTGGTGGATTGTATTATCTTGATGGTGGTGGAAGTACGTTAACAGCTCTCCAATCGTCTCTCTTTCCTCTCCAGTGGCATTGCAGATTCGGTTATCTTTCTTTGAGTCATTTGTCTGTTTTGGATTGTGAGTCGTGTCAGTTAGGGAAACATCATCATGTTCCATTTAGTCCTAGAGTTTATCACCATATGTCGAGTCCTTATTCTTTGGTTCATTCAAATGTTTGGGATCCTTATAAAGTGATGTCATACAATGGCTATAAATATTTTGTCATTTTTGTTGATGATTATTCAAGGATGACATGACTCTATTTAATGAAAGAAAGGAGTGAATTGTTTATCATTTTTAAAAAATTTTATGCTGAGGTTTGCAACCAATTTGGTGTTCACATTAAAATTTTTTGTTCCGATAATGGCCATGAATATTTCTCTTCATCATTTCAAAAGTACCTAGACCAACATGGCATTATCCATCAGACTTCGTGTACCTACACCCCACAACAAAACGGGGTGGCTGAGAGAAAGAACCATCATCTTTTGGAAATAGCTCGATCCCTCATGCATTACATGAATGTCCCCAAATCTTTTTGGAGTGATGCAGTGCTTACTTCTTGTTTCTTGATTAACCGAATGCCCACGTCTATCTTTGATGGTCATTCTCCGTTCCACACATTTTTTCCTATTGTGTCTCCATTTCCTCTTTCTCCTCAGGTTTTTGGGTGTGTTTGCTTCGTTCATAACCTGGGGCCAAGAAGGGACAAGTTAGATGCACAATCTATTAAGTGCATCTTTCTTGGCTATTCCCGGACTCAGAAATGGTATACGTGTTATCATCCCAACTCTCGACGTTCCTTTGTGTGTGCTGATGTTACATTCTTTGAGTCTACTCCATTTTTCTTGGGGTCTGGTAATGTTTCTTCCTCTTCATCACCTCCTCCACTTCCTCTTCTAGTTGTGGATTCTATCCTTGTTCCAGTTGTGACCAAGTCCTTGCCTCCGGTGCCACCACCTGTTGAACGACCGCCTATCCATCACATGTATATGCATCGCCCACATGTACCGGCTCCTCCTCCAGCTCTATCACCATCGATAGATCTGATAGCTATTCCCGCACCAGTCCTAACCTAGGTATCTGATCTTGATCTTTCTATTGCTTTGCGGAAAGGTTAACGCAGTTGTACACTTCATCCTATTTATAATTATGTTTCACTAACTCACCTTTCCGCTTCCCATTGCCAGTTTCTCTCCTTCTTGTCTTTTGTTGTTATTCTTAAAGATGTCCAAGAAGCCCTTGTCTCTCCAGGGAGGTGCCGTGCAATGGAAGATGAACTCTCAGCTCTGGCCCATAATCATACATGGGAACTCACCACTCTTCCTCCTGGTAAGAAAGTTGTTGGTTGTAAGTGGGTTTATATAGTTAAGTACTTACCTGATGGTAGTGTAAAGCGACTGAAAGCTAGATTGATTGCTAAAGGATATTCCCAAACCTATGGTATTGATTATACAGAGACTTTCTCTTCGGTTGCTAAGATTGGTTCAGTTCGTGTTGTGGTTTTTCTTGCTACGATGTATGATTGGCCACTCTATCAGCTTGATATAAAAACTGCCTTCTTACATGGTGATCTACTCGAAGAAGTTTATATGGAGCAACCACCGGGGTTTGTTGCTCAGGGGGAGGATGGTAAGGTGTACCGACTACTGAAGACTATTTGTAGGCTTAAATAGTCTCCTCGAGCATGGTTTGGCAGATTTAGTGAGGTGGTAAAGAAGTTTGGTATGAAACAGTACCAAGTTGATCATTCAGTCTGCAGTCATGACTCTCAAACAGGGAAGATTTTGTTGGTGGTGTATGTAGATGATATTGTCATTACTGGAAATGATAAAATGGGCATTGACAGGTTGAAGACTTTCCTGCAGGAACATTTTCAGACAAAGGGCCTTGGTAAATTGAAGTATTTCTTGGGGATAGAAGTAGCAAGATTTAAGCATGGTATTAACTTGTGTTAGAGGAAGTATGTTCTTGATTTGCTTGAAAAAACAGGTTTGTTAGATGCTAAACCAGCTGAAATACCTATGGAAACAAACACTAAGCTGAGCAGTGATATGGGTGGAGTGTTTGAAGACCTTAATAGATACCGGTAGCTGGTAGGTAAACTGAACTACCTAACCATCACTTGGCTAGACATTTCATTCACAGTTTGTGTGGTAAGTCAGTTCATGCAGAAACCTCTGGTTCCACATTAGGATGCGGTTGCTAAGGATTGTAAGGTATTTAAAGGGGGCTTTTGGTCGTGGTTTGATATACAGAAGTGGTGGAAAATTTGAAATAGAAGGATATACTGATGCTGATTGGGCCGGTTCTATATCTGATAGGAAATCTACCACAGGATATTGTACTTTTCTGGGGGTAATCTGGTGACATGGAAAAATAAGAAGTAGACAGTTGTAGCAAGAAGCAGAGCAGAGGCAGAATATAGAGCTATGGCACATACTACTTGTGAATTAGTGTGGGTAAGGAACCTTCTACAGGAGATGGGATACACTATTTATACTCCGATGAAGCTCTACTGTGACAATCAAGCTGCAGTTCATATTTCCTGTGATTCGGTGTTTCATGAGAGAACCAAGCATATAAAGGTTGACTGTCACTTTGTTAGAGAGAAAGTATTGACTAGAGTAATAGACACTACATATGTCAACACAGGAAACCAGTGGGCAGATTTGCTTACTAAAGGATTGAATTGGGGTAGAGTGGACTACATATGTAACAAGCTGAGATTATATGATATATATTCACCAACTTGAGAGGGAGCGATAGTGTCGAGTATGCAGGGCTATTTCTGTTTTTGTGCTTTTAGTTAGGTGTGGATATGTAAGTTTATGTTAGATCTGATGTCCCCTAAGTTAAGTAGAGACACGTGACTTTTCCACAATATTTCAATAATATAAAAGCAAATATGGCCGAATGGGAGGTTTTACAATTCTCATTCGAACCAGAATCTCTTCTCCTTGTTCTCTCTTCTACTATTCTCCTTGTCCTATCTTTCTCTCTTTCTCTCTTTCTCTCTTTCTCTTCTTTCTTTTCCTTGACTATTATCAGTCTAATAGGCATGTCGGACTCTAATAACCTGGAACAGGAACCGCTTTGGCTACCAGCTTATAGGTCAGCGGTTCAGTCATCTGGTCTGAATGGATGGCCAATTACAATTTAAAAAATAAAAAAATTAACCAAATAATTAAAATAAAAAATAGCAAAAATTATTGTTTGGGTCAAACGGGTTAACATTTTGACTACCTGAGTTAGTGGGTCGTTGATCAAGCCAATGGTTTTTGGCAGAAAAACAGTTAAGGGTAAAACTCCGAAATCATAAACCAAATTTAAAATTTTCCCAAATGAAGCCACCGACAATTTCGTAGTCTGGATATAATGAATACCCCTAATTGATGTAAACGTTTTAAAAGGCTAAATGTCGTGGTGAGGTGGTTGTGTGGTTGGGTTAAAAGTATTATGAAATTATTATTATTTTTTTAATGCAAGTTGCTTTGTTCTGTTGTTAACCAACCAAATAATCAAATTTCTTGAATTTTATAGAGCATTAAATGTTGGTATATTATTTTTTCAATTTTGATGTTGCCTAGACGAGGGATGTAACTTACATATTTTGAGGTGTGAGTAGGGATGCATGCCAGCTAGACCTGTTCATGGGCTGAGTAGCCCGATGGCCCGGCCCGGCTCGCACCCCGATTGGGCTTGGTCCTGTAATTAAGCCCGTAGGCCTGACCTTGAGCCTAACATAGTAAGCCTGACTGTGTTTCGGGCCGAGCTCGGGATTTGTCAAAAAAGCCCGACCCGGCCCGACTCAGCATTATATATTTTATAAAATATATGATATGTATTTTATATATTTTATAAAACATATAAATAATAATATTTATTGAAATATATATTTTTAATTTAATATATACATTTTTTATTATTTTCTTTATAATTTCTTTCTCTCTCTCTCTCTCTCTCTCTATTCAGCCGCTTCAGCAGTAGTAACAGTATGGTCTAAATTTCAGGCTCGGGCCCAGGCCCGGGCTTCAGGCTTTTTATAAAGGCCAGACTCGGGCCCAAGTTGCAAGCCTGATGGTCGGGCCAGGCTCAGGCTCGGGTCTTAGAAAAATCTATTAATATATAGTGAAAGCCCGGCCTGAGCCCGGCCCATAAACAGATCTAATAACAGCAGGTTCAATATGGGTTTACCTTTACCCAAACCTAACCATCGAATGCACCCACTTTAACCCATCCTGACTCAATTCAACAATATATGCAGAGTTTTCAAATCCAACCCAACGCTATAGGGCTCAACCCGATACTGTTACCAACGCTATAAGTCTATTGTATATTTTATAACGTATTTTGAAAATCTAAGAATAATTAATTTAAGTTGGAATTTGATTTAATTGGAATTGAGATCTCTCTTACCCACACCCATCCACAGGACACAGTTGTACGTTGGTAACATCTCCACATGAATAGAGAAGATGTTCCTAATGTACAATTATAGTGTCTTGTGGGTAGGTGTGGGTAGGAGATCCGAGCTCTTTGAGTAATGGGTTTCAAGATGTCACTTCATAATTAAAAAAGGAAAGCCAAAAGAAAATTGAAAAGAAATCCTAAATTTTAAATTTATAGAATTACAAATCATACCAAATTGCAAGAATGCTCTCCGGCTATAAAACTGAGTCAACAAAACACAAATCTAACCCAGCCCTTCACCAAATAAACTTGAACCCTAACCCAACCTTATAGGATCGGGTCAAGCCAGTTTTCCATTTAACCTGACCCATTGAGGCATTGACATCCTTAGGTATGAGGCCGTGAAAGTGTATAGCTCATCACAATTGAGTCATAAGCCTCCTAGAGGTTGAGGGAATATGAATTTGGTGCATTTTCAATTGAACACAAACAAAATGCAGAAGACATAGTAGGGAATAGGGATAATCTTAGTAGTTTAAGAAAAGTGAAGCTTGGGAAGAAGATAAAGAGGAGTTTTTCTAAACACATTAAGCCCAGAAACCTCAGTCATGTCTATAGTTTCCTCATTTGTAAGGATGGGAAACTCCCAGTCGAACCAATACAAGAGGTTGGCAAGAGTTAGCTCCAGAGATGCCAAACCAAAGGACATGCCGGGGCATCGCCTACGCCCTACCCCAAAAGGAAGAAGTTGCAAGTCCTGGTCATTAAAATCAATTGGGTTATTGATAAATCTTTCTGGAATAAACTCATGTGGATTATCCCATAATTTGGGGTCCCTTTGGATTGCCCAAGCATTGATAAAGACCCTGGTTTTAGAAGGGATATGGTAACCATCAATGGTAGTAGCTGTAATGGATTCTCTTGGAATCAGAAAGGGACCAGGTGGGTGTAATCTCAGAGTCTCCTTTATGATACGGTGTAAGTAGTCCATCCGACTAATGTCATCTTCTTCAACCTTGGATTTTTGACCAACCACTCTTCGTACCTCTTCTTGGGCTTTCTTCATCACATTGGGTTTTTTGGCAAGCTCTGCCATAGCCCAATCCAGAGTAACAGTTGATGTATCAATTCCAGCAACAAACATGTCCTGCAAATGAGAAAATGAGGGAAAAATGAAGTACTTGGTACACAATACTTGTAAGGCACTACTAGAGAAGTAGAGAGAGAGAGAGATACCAAGGTGACTGCTTTTACATTGTCTCTACTGAGATTTAGATCTTTTTGAGCTTGCAGTAAAGTACCCACAAAATCCTGTTCATCTACCTCACCATCATTTCTTTCGGAATTGAGATGTTGTTGGATTATCTGATCAAGGACGGCATCCAACTCTTTCCAAGTCTTCTTTATCTTCCCACGAAACCCAGTGAGTGTATCAATCCATCCCAAGAATGGGAAGAAATCTTGCATGCTAAAAGCTCCCATGATGACCAGCACCTCCTTGATCAAATTCCTTAATCTTCTACTGCCATCCTTTTCTCTACGGTTCCGGCCTACGGTTACTGAAGATATTAAACTATAGGTCATAGTTTGCATCAACTGACCTATATCAACTGGGATACCCAGTTGGCAGGAGCGACTTATCTCCTCCATCATAGTGGCTACTTTTTCTTCCCTTACAAACTTGAATGACTTCACTCTCTTTCCGGTCAAGAGCTTGATGAAACAAATCTTTCTTACCTCTCTCCAGTACTCACTGTAGGGTGAAAAAGCAATGTCAGTACATCCATAGGAGAATGTATTTGTTGCTTTAGTTGCAAACCTATTTGAGAAGACGAGATCTTGGGTCTTTATAATCTCTCTAGCCATATTTGCAGAGGAGACCACAAGAGTGGGAAAACTGCCCAGGTGTAAGAGCATGAGGGGTCCATATTTCTCGGACAGGGCTGCAAGAGAGCGGTGGGGGAGTGTTCCTAGTTGGTGAAAATTTCCAACAATTGGAAGCTTTGGTGGAGACGGTGGAAAATTGGGTTTGTTTAAGGAAGCTCTACTGGCTCTAAACAGAAATAGGAATGAAACGAAAAGAGATACTAAAAGGAGAAGCCCTTGTTGTTGTTGCAATAGTTGAAGCAGTATTGCAGGTAGCACTGCCATTGCATGCAGATAATGATGGACGTATAGCTACTTACCAAATGACCATTTTTTATAGGGAGGAGTCAAGTTTTTTTTTTTGTGTGTGTGAAAATAGAAGAAAAAAATAGAAACACTTCAATTACATGCATGTCACAATCAATGTGGTCCAATGAACCACCAACCATTAAGTTTGTGGCTTAGTTTCAAAAAGACTAATGAATGCTGGCCAATCAATAAATTAAAAGATCTAGTAAGGTGATTTTTTGTCTTCCTGATATCATGCAATATTGGTACCTGTTCCTGAAACGTTTTGGATTGATGTATTGTCAATCCAAAATGTACCTGTTCCTGATATCATGCAATATTGTCATCTAGCTAGAAAAATGAATGCGTTTGGAATGTCAAATTGATGTTTCAAGTTGAAACAAAACTACATGCAATGATCAACCCTGGACGTTTAAGGTGGAAAAGAAATATAAGGGTTCGTTTGGTTTGTAGTCGGAATTGGAATCGAAATCTTCTGGAATCAGAATCATAATGGTTCATTCCTATAGTTTGTTTGGTTCAGACAGGAATGGGAATGGAAATTAAGACCCCATTTGGTTCGCGGGAATAGGGGTCTAGAATCGGAATCGGAATGGGCTATTCCGATTTTAACTGTTTGATTGGGTGGAATCGGAATCTCATTCCCATTCTCTGCCCCTCTCTTGGGAATAAAATTTCATTCCTACTGATTTTAATAACCATTCCCATTCCTGTCTGAACCAAACAGATTGTGCGAATTGACCATTCCGATTATGATTCCGGATGATTTTGATTCCAATTCCGATTCCGATTCTGACTGCAAACCAAACGGACCCTAAAATCAGCAAGAATGGGATTTCATTCCCAACAAAGGGGCAGGGAATGGCCATTCCCTCAAATGGGGGAATGCCATTCCAGCAGAAATGGGAATGGGATTCCGATTCTGTCCAAGCAAACAGTTGGAATCAGAATAGCCCATTCTGATTCTAATTCCAGACCCTTATTCCTGCGAACCAAACAGGGCCTAATTCACCGTTTTTTATTGATCAAAAGAGACCATTTTGAGAAGAAACCACATAACAAAAAAAACTTAGGGTCTGTTTGGTTCATAGTTGGAATCGGAATCGAAATGGTCTATTCCAAGATTTTTAAAACCGGCCCAAACAATGAACTGGTCAGGGGTTCGGTTCCCGGATTGAACAGTCTGACCATTAAAATCGAACGATCGGCCTATTCTAACAAAAAAATAAAAAACGGTCAAAACCGTTGAATGGTTCAACCACCCAGGTCAGCGGTTTGCTGACCAAATCAAAGTTCTTCAACAAAAATCCGGTTTTGGGAAAAAACGGACCTGACTGGTTCCCAGTTTTTCCGGTCCGATCTAGTTTTGAAAACTATGGTCTATTAACATAATCTGTTTTGTTCGGACAGAAATGGGAATATGAGAATTGAAATCAGTAGGAGTGGGATTTCATTCCAAAGTGATGGGAAAGGAATGGCCATCCCTCAAATGGGGGAATGCCATTCCAATAGGAATGGGAATGAGATTCTGATTCTGTCCAATCAAACAGTTAGAATCGAAATAGCCCAATCTAATCCCAATTCTAAACCCCTGTTCCCATAAACTAAATGGGGCCTTAGTTCATACTTCATTAATTGTGGACACTGATTCATCTCATGATACTCCAATACTCACAAGCCCCAATCTCTAGAAATTAGTAATCATTCACACCAATGCTTTTAAAACTGACTTGAAACTGGGACCGCTTTGGCCACCAATTTCTAGGTCATCGGTTCAGCCATTTGGTCTGAATGGATGGCCTATTATAATTTAAAAATAAATAAATAATTAATTAAAATAAAAAAGTAGCAAAAACTGTTGTTTGAGTCAAATGGATCGGCATTTTGACTGCCTGAGTCAGTGAATTGTTGACCAAACAAGTGGTTTTTGGCAAAAGAACAGTTCAGGGGTAAAATTCCGAAATCATAAATCAAAATTTAAAATTTTCCCAAATCTAACCGTAGCAGTTTGGATCGTATAATGAATATCCCTAATTGATACAAAGGTTTTAAAAGGCTAAAGGTCGAGGAGGTGAGGTGGTTGTGTTAAAAGTTATTATGAAATTATATATTTTTTAATGCAAGTTGCTTTGTTCTGTTGTTAACAAACCAAATAATCAAATTTCTTGAATTTTATAGAGCGTTAAACATTGGTATATTATTTTTTCAATTTTGATGTTGAAAAAAACGTTGATTTGGTCAGGTTCTGGTTTACCTTCACCCAAACCCAACCGTCAAATGCACTCACTTTAACCCATCCTGACTCAATTCAACAATATGCAGAGTTTCCAAATCCAACCCAACGCTATAAGGCCCAAGCCGATACCATTCCAATTAAACCCACAGTCTTTCAATTGTATATTTTATAACGTATTTTGAAAACTTAAGAATAATTAATTTAAGTTGGAATTAGATATTTAGAATCCGGATCTTCTATCCACAGAACAATACAGTTTTATATTGATAACATCTCCCCATGAATAATAATATGTAATAGAGAATATGTTCTTAATGTATAACTATAATGCCTTATGGGTAAGAGATCTGAGCTCTTTGAGTTATGGGATTCAAGATGTCTCTTCCCCCATAATTAAAAATGAAAAATCAAAAAGAATATGAAAAGAAATTCTAAATTTTAAATTTATAGAGTTAGAAGTCATACCAAATTGTAAGAATGCTCTCCATATATCCAGGGCTATAATGGTCTAGCAAACTGAGTCAACAAAACACAAACCCGACTTGGGTTGAAGAATCTAAACCCTAACCCAGTCCATCACCAAATAAATTTGAATCTTAACCCAACCTTATAGGATCAGGTCAAGCCAGTTTACCATTTAACCTGATCCATTGAGGCATTGACATCCTTAGGTATGAGGCCGTGAAAGTGTACATCTGATCACAATTGAGTCATAAGCCTCCTATGACATATGCGCAAAGCGGTTGATCAGGGAGGATGAAGTTTATTTTGCCTTGAATCAAGTCATATGCCTCACTGACTTGCTTGCCTACCTTTCAGAACTATGAACTTTGCATCAAGGCATATGTATGCCTAATTCACCTTTTAAAGCTATATATGGACTTAGGGCCTGTTTGGCATGTCTTTCCATGTGGTCTTTTGGTTGTTTACAAGTTGAGAAGACTGATTTTCAGTCTATTTCCATTTGGCTCGCAGAAGATCTAGCCGTCAAAAGACAATGCATAAAAAAGACGCGAAAAACTCATTTCGGGCTGATTTCGGGAAGTTTCCCGCGTCTTTCACGTTTTAATCTTGTGCGAAAAGACGCCATCTGCCAAACTGTCTTCAAGCTACCCAGATCTTATATCAAAAGCTCAATATATCTTTTGACTCTCAGAGCTACAAGATCTTCTAAAAAAGACACACCAAACGGGTCCTAAAAGTTGCTGCTATACTTCCCTAAACTGTTGAGGAATTTTAAATACAATAAATTAGGTTGTCTTTGGTATGGTTGGTCTTCAGCCTGCAATGTTTTGATTTGAAACATAATCCTTCCAAGATTGTGTTTGGTGTGTTTGAAAAACAAGCTCCCCCTCCAAAATAATATTAAACAGATTGGTGTTCAGATGGAGTCCAAGTGCATTAGTTTGTTGTAACCGGGCTAATGTTGAAGATTTGAATCACCTATTTGTTAACAGTGTCTTGGAGGTGAAGATGTGCTGCATGCATCATTGATCACCAAAATTCTCTATTGGCTGTAGGCCGAACTCAGCTTGAGAGGGCTGGGCTGGTTACTCCTTGTGATCGTGGCATTGGGTTCAACATATATTATAGAAAATTTCAGGCCTCAATGTTAAAATCATTCATAACCACCGTGAGGGTAACAAGGTAGCAGATGGCTTAGCAAAGTTAACTTGTGATCGTGGTTTCAATGCCACTTTCCAGAGCTTCGATGAACTGCCTATAGATGTACATCCTTTTATCCATTTTCTGAAAGACCATTGGACACAATTAATTGTATTATATGAGCTAGTGGTTTTCTTCACAACTACAAAGTTTATCTTTTAGAGGCTTTAGTCCGTAAATAGCTAATTATGTCGTTCAAATGTGTATTTCAGGGGCAATTCATAACTGCCTCTATATTGTATTTTATGCCCCAATTAATAAGAGCATTTTTGGTAATGAACTTGAGTAGTTCTTCATGATGGATGAATTGTCTATTCATCTATATAAGAGTATGTTTGCATGCTCTGATATTGCTAATTTGTTCTGCCTCACAAAAAGAAGTCTAATATTGCTAAGGGTAAATCTCTTAAACTACCCTTACTGTTCACGAAATTGATAAACTGCACCCTTACTGTTTATCTATTGTCTTAAGCTATCCTTAAGTTTTCTAACAATTGACACACCGTTAAACACTAATAAGAAAAATGAAATATCGAATTTGCCCTTCACTATTCATCAAAATTTCAAAATAAAACCCAATTGATGAACAAATAAACCCAAAATCATATCATTGTAGCAACAACATTTCTTGGCCAAAATCATATCGTGGTGGCAGTCGATGTATCAAATTTGAAAGATGATGCCAAGGTTTGTGTTGCTAAGAAGACACAATGAAAATAGTAGGTCGACTAGAGCAATGATGAAAACAGTTACCAAAAATAGGGTTTTCCTCCATAAATTGTCAGATCCAAATCTTCTCCTCTTTCCCGCAATGTGCTTCACCGGCGCTATCTATATTGACTCGATTGGAGGAAGCATTCAACACTCTGGTGTTGGAGGCATACACGATGACGGAGGCGTTGCATCTGATGGATACATTGTTTGATTGAGAAGAGAGAGAGAGAGAGAGAAAAGAGAATAGAGGTTCGATTTAGAACCAAAGACTTACGGGCTGGCCGGCTACCAGCTTTTTATTTATATTCTCTTAACATAATAAGACCAATAATTACAAGAATGCCCTTGGTGGCAAATCATAATAATGAACAAATAACAGAAAAGATAAAAGGAACTAGTTG